GCGTCGACTAACCGGCAAAATACCGGATGTGGCGCATAATTTTAATTAAGCATAATTGTGAATTCACAAACGCTACGATTTAATTAATTATATGCAATGCCGTTCTAATACAGTATATGCGCTTTAATTATTTACATGCGTGTAGGTTAAGTACGTGCGTCACACAGCGGCTCCGTTCACAGTAGTTCCACAGGAACTGTTATCATTTACATGTGTGGAGCGTCTCAAACTCCATCTGTGCATGTTGTTGTGAGTTTGGGTTTATTATAACGTTCATCTGGGAACGCAATGTGCGCCATTTCATCAGATTTGTAAGGTAAATCATTTATAAATCTACGCAAACACAGGAGAATACATTGCGGTTTCAAAATAAAAGCTCAAACCCTCACTCTGAGTTTACATGTTTTGATGTCCACATATTCTTTTAATTACAGTGGCTATAGCATTTCTGTCGTAAAGAAATGGCCAAATATTAAAGATTAAGTGGACATTTGAATGAAATGATGCTTGGTCAATATTAAACAAGGATTAGATCGCACAGTAATGTGTAAAAACAATTGGCAGGCCGGGTGGCGCACTCTGCAGGCCTTTGTTGTAATGCGTAATGTATATTAGCTCTATTGTTTATAATACATTATGTATTTTAACAATTTTGTTCAATAAAACCATATGATTTCTTGCTTTTGATACTTTATTTGAACTAATTATTATTGCCTCATTGCTATTATATATGTATTTTAAGTAATTTTAAAGGCTATTGTTCACTTACATCTATGTTTATTACCACAAAAAAACGTATTATAATTATAGGGCCCTATGAAATCTGTTTTATTTCCAAATTCGTTTTTTTCCATTTTAATTTTTCTATTCTCTGTTTTAATGGTTAAATTAAATTGTATTAATCAAAAAGCCTGTCTAATTAATTGAGTTTTACAGTTTTATCTTTACCTAATTCTGTTTTCCATTATTTTCTGGATTCCATTTTAATGGTTCCATTAAATTTTAATAATCAAAAGCATCTCCAATTAATTGATTTTCTTAAAAAAAATTTTTTTATTTTTTTATATATTATTATTTTTATTTTCAGAAATACTGCACATTTACATTTTTCTCCTCAATAAATTCTGGTAAATAATATTTCTGGTAAATACTCCTTTAAAAAGTGTTTTTTGATTATAATTTTATTATTAGTAGACTAGAACACGTGGGTATGTTGTCATTCTTACACTATAATACTGAACTTTGATTTCAGTGATTTGGACTATGAGATGGACACTTGCTTCTTACACTTTATGTTGCACTTTACTTTTTTACTTTTGGATTTCATTTGGTTTAATGAAATATAGTTTAATAAAATATTCTTAAGTAAAATTGTCGATTTTTTGGCGGGAAATTAATCGTTTAGATTAATCGATTAATTTATCGACTAATTTATTGATTAATCTAAATGATTAATTTCCCACCAAAAAATCAAAAATTTTACTAAATAAAAAGTCGTTAGTGGCAGCCCTAAATGGATTACATGATTACATATTATTTACACAATAGCAATAATTTTTTGATTCTTTCTATTTCCTCTTTTTCATCTCTTAAATGTTCCTTTTTAAAATAGCCTACCGCTTATATACATTCAGAAAGTTTTCCACAGACTTGGACATTCACACAGAGACCAGCTATTAGTCAGGTGGCTACACAGTGTCACACCCCTGTGGACTGTCGATTGTGGTTTCTCCCTCTGTGTCCTTATTTGGATGTTCCTGTCCTCATTATCCGTTAATCACCTTATTGTGCTCACCTGTCTGCCCCTCGTTATCTGCCCTATATTAGTTCCTGCCTCTCGTAGTCTAGTTTGTCGGTTATTGTAAATGCCAATGTCCATGTTCCTGTTCCTGTTCCTGTCTATGTTGATGTCTACCCTGTCTGGATTTCCTGTTGTTTCTTGATTAAATATCCGTTTATTCGTCGTCCTGCCTGATCTCTCAACACCCTGACCGCGACAGAATAACCGACCCAAAAAAGAGTTTAACTTCTGTGTTCTCCCCTCCGTTTGTTTTCCGGTTTTTCCTCAGTGTTTCCAGCCCTTTGCCTACCCCTGTCTCCATCCCACATCCACTCCTTTGTCCTCCTCCTAAGTCCCCCTCCGTCCCTCCCTATGTCCCCACGGCGCGAGGTCGCGCCTTCCGGGAGGGGGGCGATCTGTCACACCCCTGTGGACTGTCGATTGTGGTTTCTCCCTCTGTGTCCTTATTTGGTTGTTCCTGTCCTCATTATCCGTTAATCACCTTATTGTGCTCACCTGTCTGCCCCTCGTTATCTGCCCTATATTAGTTCCTGCCTCTTGTAGTCTAGTTTGTCGGTTATTGTAAATGCCAATGTCAATGTCCATGTTCCTGTCTATGTTGATGTCTACCCTGTCTGGATTTCCTGTTGTTTCTTGATTAAATATCCGTTTATTCGTCATCTTCGTCGTCCTGCCTGATCTCTCAACACCCTGACCGTGACACACAGCATTTGACCACTGGCTTTACAAAAATTATTTCAGGTTTAAGAAGTTTCAATATGGCAACAACTACTGATGACGGTTATTGTACCATGTATTACTGTGGAAGACATTAAACTGCACAAATTCACCAACTTTTTTGTCATCTGATCCTCTTTCACCTAATACATTTTTATTTGAAGTACCCCTGACATTTTTAATAAATAAGTATCACATTTGCATGTTCATTTATCTGATGTAGGTTAATGGTCACATGACATGCAGGTAAATAAATAAAATATTTCATTTTTTTTAGTAAGTGTTTTATATTGATTCATTTTAAAATGATTTAATTCAATATGGTACAAGATTATCCTATTTAAATCAATGTGAAAAACGATCAAAAATCCAAAATCTAAAAGTAGTCTGATTATATTACCTAAAATGTGTAATGTAATGGATTACGTTACTAACCACATGTAATTTGGAATCAGTAACAGATGGTTACACTTTATTGTAAGGTGTCCTTGTTACAGTGTAATTATACATTTAAATACTGAGTAATATTAATTAACTACTAACTTACTATTTGGTTAGGGGTAAGATTAGGGTATGGCTTAGTGTTACTTGCATGTAATTATGTATAATTTATTCTTATTATAATAGTAAGTACATGCAACATGTGTAACAAAGTGTTACCACGGATCACAATTTGTAAGTAATTCACACAGTTCTGGCAGAAGATCTCTTATTATTTTACCTGGCTCTTACAGACAGTAATAAAATCAACTAGAGGGAAAATAAAGTTTGACGCTATAAATTAAAAATGATATATTTATTTTTACAAATGTTAAATCTTCAAATAAAATGTAAGGGTTACCACTGCATCTGTCTGGGGAAAAAAATAAAAATAAAAAATGTGTTTGATTTATAGTTGATTTTCAAAGCTTTCGATGTACTCTTATTATAGAAGAACTTCATTAATGTTGATTTAATTCTAACAAATACATTTTTGTTAAAAACTAACCAAAATGAAAAATAATGTGTTTATAATCTCTGCACAGGAGAGACTTGTTGTTGTTTCCAAACAAAAGGAAATATATCGGTATCAGTGTCAGCTTTTTGGCCAAAAATATCGGCATATCGGCAATTATCCAATATTGTGCATCCCTAATTTAAAGACATGAATGAGCTATTGTCATGGGAAAAAATGCTCAAGTATGCCATTTTGATTATTAAAGATGAGATGCATTCCACTGTATGCATGCATGAATTATTCACATCAACACTGAAGTATATGTTTTTACAAATTTTTCAAAATATTCTCGGAAGAGAACTTAATATGTGACCCTGGACTACAAAACCAGTCTTAAGTCGCTGGGGTATATTTGTAGCAATAGCCAAAAATACACTGTATGGGTCAAAATTATTGATTTTTCTTTTATGCCAAAAATCATTAGGATATTAGGCAAGGCAAGGCAAGGCAAGTTTATTTGTGTAGCGTCTGGACCAATCAAAAACATAATTTTTGATTTGATTTAACAAATCAGTTATTCATTAGATTAACAAATCGTCACAGACCCCTCACCCAATAAACTGGGCGCCAGGATGTCTGCGAACAACACCAGGCCCCCCTGGTCCCCATGGCAACTAATGCTGATATCACTGGTTTTATGACCCACAGGAATGTAAGTAGGGAAAATCACTGCATGTTAAGTTTTTAGTAATTAGATCATGTTCCATAAAGATATTTTGTAAATTTCCTACTGTAAATATATCAAAACTTCATTTTTGATTATATTCATTGCTAAGAACTTCATTTGGACAACTTTAAAGGCGATTTTCTCAATATTTAGATTTTTTTGCACCCTTAGATTCCAGATTTTCAAATAGTTGTATCTCGGCCAAATATTGTCATATCATAACAAACCATACATCACTGGAAAGCTTTGAGATGGTGTATAAATCTCAATTTAAAAAAATTGACCCTTATGACTGACTGGTTTTGTGGTCCAGGGTCACATATGTCTCATATGTACAATCAAAAGTCAAAGATTTCAGTGTGAGCTCAAATATTTCTAATCAATTCTTTCAAGATCAAATAATCTGAACTAAACTAACCACATTCATGTTATAGCTCTCTACTCTTGTACGTCAACAAATAGGTTTCTTACTGCACTCCTTCTTGGGTTCGTCCGACCGATCCTTGCAGTCCTTCACATTATCACACACCTTGCTGCCATCAATGCATTCTCCATTCCTGCAGAGGAACTTCAGAGGTCCTTCACACTTTGTGGCTAAAGCATGGTTGGAAAAAATGGAAAAGATGCTTACAGAACAGATGGCAGCTGATTTGTTCAGTTCATTTCAATTTAGCTTTGTTTCCTCCCACATAAGCACAAATACTCAGAGGTCTCTAGTGCACAGATACAGACTGGTGATTTAACAGATGTGGGCAGTTTAGGTGAAGTCTCTGCATGTCTTCCATATAAAAGCCACTTTCAAAAGGATTGGCCAATTTATTTCCACACATGAAAGCTTATTACCGCTTAGACACAGCACTCTTTGAGCAGGACACGCTTCTGCTATGGACAGACAGGTCTGCACTCATTAAACTTTGAAGGGTGTCGCATTAAAAGGCGTAACCAATTTGATCTCTGGGATACATTTCACCCTGCTGAATAAGCAGCACAAAAGATTTGTGCAAAGAAGTACACACACACACACGTGCGTGCCAAGACGTACCATTGACACAGCCAGCCTCGTCGCTTTTGTCGAGGCAGTCGTGTATTTTGTTGCACTGCTTGATGCCGTGGATGCAGGATCCGTCTCCGCACTGGAACTCATCAGGCCGGCATGTGAGCAGAGCTGCAGATGAGCCAAACACAGCACAGACATCAGCCAAACGCTGACACACAGACTCCAAACAGACCTTCATGGTATCTTTGGTATGCTTAGGAGCTTCATAATTGGTAAACACCCCTATGAATACTTATGTTGTCTGTAATTCAGTTTAAAAAAGGGGAAAAAATACATGATTTTATATCCACATCCAAACAATTTTTGTGTGTGCACTTGGATGGGTTAAATGCAGAGCACAAATTCCGAGTATGGGTCACCATACTTGGCCACACGTCACTTCACTTCACTTCATTAGGAGCTAGGGGATGAAAACTTTTTGAATTTCAAGATCCGGCTAAATTGTACTTATTTTTTTTATCTTGGTGAACATGGAAGTATCTTCTGTGGCTTCTGAAAGGCAGTTCTAAATGAAAAAAATATGAAAAATTACACATCTTCATCCTATTCAAAAGTTTTAATACATTGTGTTTCCTTCTGTAGCATCAGTGAACATTTGAACCTTTTGTAATAGTTGTAATACTTTTATAATAGCATATGTCTCTCAGTTGTCCTCAGTGTGAAAATATGGATAACAGTCATAGATCATCTAGGTAATGATACACACATTATTAAGAACCAAGCATATGCAAACTTTTGAATGGGGTAATTTTTATAAATTCAGCTGTTTTGTTTTTGTCTTGTGCACTATGTAAACATCTTAAGTAAAATATCTTATTTAGGACATTTGTTTAGGAAAAATTAACTTGCATTTTGTATGATAACTCTTATTTTGGTAAAATAATTAACATTTTGCTTGTTCTGCAAAGTGTATGTAAACCTTTTGAATAAAACTGTAAACACACACACACACAGTATATGAGTATTCTGTGTTTGCAGTAAGATTTTAGACAAATCCGACCTGATTTCAAAGTGTGTGTAGCTGTCATGACACTTTAAAGGCACTTTCAAAGCCCACAAAAACCCCACAAACACACCTCTAGTTTCTGGAGAGCTGTGGCTTAATTACGCAAACACATCTGAGAAGACAAACAATACTGGCTATTATGAAGTTCAAAGTAAAACCCCCTGAAACGCTGCATAAGAATGAGGGATTAATGTGATTATGGAGCAGTCTGTGGATGTATCCTCCCTTTATTTCAAGGGCTTTAAAATGCTCAAGGACACACGCCCAAGGGTTGCCTAGTAACGCACGTTCCACTCTGCTCGCCCGTTTTCCCTCCGGCCTGGGCAAAGCCACATCGTAATTGACCTGGATGTTACCTGACGGTGGGAATGAAGAAAGAGGCAGCAGGTTTAAAACAAGCTTATCTAGCCGACAGAAGTCAAGTATGAGAATGCATCGTAATTAAAATCAGGTGCTCTCCTGGGCACCTGTCTTTCTCCCATGACTCTCGGGATCTTGAGGTCGGTTAATACTCCTGGGATCTTGTTGTTTACCAAAGCCGCTCTCTTCTTAGACCTCGATGTTAGATAACAAACACCTTGTGGCAGCTCCATTCTATCAGAGGTGCCTAGGGAATGAGTACCACAGCGGTGATGTGAAATCTGAATTTCCCCAGCTTTCAGAGAAGGATGTGGCCCAGAGATTTTAAAAGGATGTGACAGCATTTTGACAAATCTGATTTCTGATGCGCATCAGAGTCATTGCTGATATATAGGAAATAAAACTGCAAAATCGAAACAAACCACTTTGTGCAATACCATAACTAGGGCTGGGCGGTAGACGGTAATACCATGCAATGGTAGAAACGCATTAATGTAGAAGGTAAGTTTTATATTTATCAGATTTTTTATAAAGGCTTAAGATATGTGGCTTGTCCAACCATATTAATAATGTATTGTTTGATTCTTGTTTCAACTGAAACATGAATGTGATGCAGCTGCTTCTGTACTTTGCTATGAATCAAATCCCCTCCCCCAAAAAATATGTCCAAATATATATCCAATTAAAAAAATTTTATTAGGTTATTGAAAAATATGAATTACTGCATATAAAATATTTTTGTGCTGAAATTTCAGCAAAAATAACTAGTAAAAATAACTACTTAATTGTTATAAAAAAAGAAAAAAGGCATTTACTTCTTGAATGTATTTACGTGAAGGGTTATTTCACCCAAAAATGAAAATTCTGTCATCATTTTCTCACCTTCTTGTTGTTACAAACCCATGTGATTTTTATTCATTTTTTAAACACAAATTGAGATTTGAGAATTAAAAATTGAGAAACATTTCTGTCCCTCTTTTGAAAGTAAATTCTACAAAAACTTTCAATCTTCAGAAAGTTCACAGTTAGTAATCCATATGAATCGAGCGGTTTATTCCAAGTCTTCTGAAGAGACACAACTGCTTTATATGCTGGACAGATTTAACTGAGGCTTTATTCACAGATAATAATTGATCGACGCAGAAACATTGAGCACATCAGTAATGGTCAATGGAAGCTCAAAAGTGTGAGCTTGACATGCCAGAATCAATGAGCACCGTTGAGCTTTCTCAGAATACTTGGATTAAACTGCTCGTTTCGTGTATTACTTTTGCTACAGCTATGTCTGTATGAAATTTTGAAGCATTAAAGTTTTGAGTGTGTGGACTTTCACTGGGGTGAAATCTGTCAGAAAATATCCTTATTTGTGTTTCCAAGATGAAAGAAAATCTTACGGGTTTGAGTAAAGACAGAATTTTCAATCCATGTATCAAGTGAAAGATACATGCTTCCACCGTAGCTTAATTCAAAGTCAAATCTTTTCTTTTTTACCCATTATGATGCGGCACACAGTTAAATGGTGTTATGTGTGGGTTGTGCAGAGTAGTCGCTACATTCATGAGCATCACCACTGTGTCCTTGAGCAGCCCATTTAACCCCAGAATGCTCCAGGCGGGCTTTCTATATAATACGTGCATTGGAAGATCAGAAACATTGTACTCTCTACATGAACACTTGGCTAACATACTGCAAAAGTGCATGAAAAAGCTATCATTGTTCTATGACGTTACACAACAATGGTGTGTGTGCTGCCATCACTGTCAAACTACATTAAAGTGTGTCTCCACACCAAATGCTTTGAGTCACGTGGCAATAATGGCTTCAATAATACGAATTGTCTTTGTGTGGGTGGAATAGATAATAAATGGCAGGCAGTCAGAAAAAATTATCTGCCGTGAACCGTCGCCTTCCATCTTTGGCAAAACCTCACAGTATCTAAGAGAATTTCATTCCCATCGGAGCATGTCAGAGCGACGTGCCCTTCAGAAACATTGTTGGGGTCGTGTGGCCCTCACAATGAGAACTCCTGCTGAGATTCCTGCACAGATATTTCCAGAAATGTGGTGGAGATGCCGAGCACCTTCATGCACATTCACTGGGAGTGTTTGCTTTGTGTGCATCAATGCAGCAGCCAGAAAGTTCAGTAGGTGAAAAACGAGTCTGAGAGAAAGAAAGATGAACCATGCAACGTACCAAGAGACAAACGGTGAGAGGGCTGATGCACACACACAAATACACACCAACATGCTACAAAATCAATTCACATTCTTGCACATCTTCTTAAATGTTACTGTTATGAAAGAGCATTTCTCATGAATAGAACGTACTGCACACAGCAGTCAGTCGGGCCATTGGTTCAAACTTTTCAATTTCTGTTTTTATTGTTTTTGACCCACGTAACCTTGTATTCTAATAAATAAGACCACCATTTTAGGTACCAGTGAAATCAAAAACAGTGCTTTAAGATTTTCAAAAAGGTAAGAAAGGTAAGAAATACTACAGGAATTTAATTTAGTTACCAAATGTAAAATAACGCTTCATAGTGTGTATATGTAGTCATATGTGTCATGAAAACTACAAAAAGTTATTTGGTCAAGAGCACTGAGTGATTTTTCTGTCTATTGTTGTTTGATTAACATTAATGACAGGAGCAGCAGGTATTTTGGGCTGCTGTCACTTTAAGACCTAACGCACAGATCCAATATACTGACACATCTGATTTCGTTTACATTCGCTTAAGAAATAGCCAGCGGTGTTGGATATTTATATATACTCCCCAAGACTGGCATTTTGACAGTTTTGTGTACATTTGTCAGTTCAAGCACAATACGACAAAATGAAGCGAAATAAAACTCATTTCGGTGCACATGCTATCTGAGCTTAAATGTTTTCAATTCACTTTAATGTTTAAATTGGCAAGACTTAAAAACAAATGCAGCCCATCAACTGTCTCATAAGACACTGACTCCAGGCCACCGGCCAGACCTTATTGTTGAGGCCTGCAAAGGTATCCTAATAACTGGGTGGGTGCAAAACTTTTATGGCACAAAAACAATCAGCATCAACTACAGTTGACCCTGGGGCCCAGGGCCAGTGTAAGACAGCGGCTGTCAATCAGGGGGCTGGGGCCCACTATTATTATTAATAATATTATTAATTATATTCATAAAAATTTAAGAATTATTAATAATATATTAAAATAAATCTCTTAATTACAATAAAAAACACACACATATAACATTAAAATGTAAATGTGTGTACCACCTCAAATAACATATTGTTCTTACTGAAGAACATACATTTATGTCTTTGGTGTCTTTGAATATTGTGTTAGACAATAGAGTTTCAGGCCTGTCGCCACTTGCCCTTTTGGGTCTCTGAAAATTTCATTTAATTTACTTTTTCATTGTCTTGCTTTTTTTTTACATCTTGAGAACACTATGCGCTAGCAACGTCAAGGTCATGTGTTGGAAAGCTTGAACTGATAAAATGTGTACCTTAAATTCAGTGCATGCCGCTTTGAATAAAAGCATTTGCCAAATGCATAAAAATGCAAAGAAATGTACTGTAAATTGGGCTAAATAAAATGTGCCAAATATGTAACAAAAATATGCCAATATGCCACAAAAAAAAGTGCCAAGTATGTAAATAATAATGCAACATTTTCTAGCTACCTAACACTGATTTTGAGGAAATCACAAGAAAACTGTGCAATAATCTTAGAATCATCAGTTAGAATAGGTAGAAAAATATAAACCAACCTGCCATCATTTTCTAGCAAAAGTATATTTATGACTTTACAGTGGTTTAATTTATAGTTATTGCAAATTGAAAAAAAAAACTACCTTTTTTCTTGAAAAAAATTACAAATTAAAATATTTTGGTAACACTTTTTTTTTTAACCAATTCTCACTATTATTGTCACACCCCATTGGACTTTTGTTGTGTTTTCTTCCCCCTTGTGCTCTGTGTGACCTAGTTTCTGTCTCCCCTTGATTATGTCATTTAGTTCAGGTGTGTGTCGTTAATTACCTTCATTTGCTCCTGTATTTAAAGTGTAGCCTGTTCAGTTTTCCCTCGTCTGGTATTGTGAATGTTTCCCTACGTGTGCTCCTGCCTGTCCGTCCTGGATTTACCCTTGTGTGGATTTATTAAAAGACTATTTGCATTTATCTTCATCTTCTTCGTGCGTTTATATCACTGTAGCGTGACAATTATGTAATTTCTTGCATGTAATGCATGCATATTACTAGCATATTGGCTGTTTATTAGTACTTATAAAGCAAATATTAAAGGGGTCATATGATGCGATTTCAAGTTTTCCTTTCTCTTTGGAGTGTTACAAGCTGATTGTGCATAGATAAGTGCATGATCATATTTTAGATCCCTTAATCCTCCCCCATACTTAAACTTAACCACTGTATAAACTATTAATAAGCAGCAAATTAGTAGTTTATTGAGGCAAAAGTTGTAGTTAATAGTTAGTTAATTGGTCCCCAAACTGAAGTGTGACCTATATTTTTCTTGGCATATATAAATCAAATTGCTAAAAAATATAATACGCATTGTGGTGAGCCAATGAAAATATTGTCAGGGCAAGCAAAATCTGTACTACTAAAAAAAAAACACCCCTGCCCTGATAAACATCAGTATTTAACTACATACTGTATTTGAGTGACGGATTAAAGGGTCACAATTGTACAGTGAGATCCAAGTACTTTCTACAGGAAGTAAGTGAGAGTGCACACTCACGGCAGTCGGCCTCATCTGACTTGTCCTTGCAGTCAGGGTCCCTGTCGCACCTCCAGGCCAGTTTCACACACTCCCCACTGCCGCAACGAAATTCTCCAGCACCGCACTGCAGTCGCCGGGTGGGGGGCGGAGCCGGCCGTCCAGACCCGCCCCCGCATTGCCCCGCCCACTCATCAGAGCCGTCAGCGCAGTCAGGGTCGCCGTCGCAGATCCAGGGCTGCGGCACACACTCTGAGCTGTTACAGCGAAACTCGTGCGGCCCACAGGTGGGCGGTGAGCACTTCTCCTCATCGCTGCCGTCTCCACAGTCATCATCACCATCACACACATAGACCGGTGCTAAACATTTGCGTTTACGACACTGGAACTCCCCCACTGAGCAGGACCTGGCATCTGGGGATGAGAAAACAAAGACTTGATTAAGAAATGCCCAATTACATATGAAGAGACTGGCTGAATGCCATGTGCAGCCATCAACTATATTTCCTGGAGAGTGGTGGCTCTTTCAAAGTGTGCAAAAAAGAAATTTTTCTTTTAAATGATGAACTCACCATCCAGTTTGCATTGTTATAAATGTTCTGAAAGTGAAGTGTTAAAGGTTAAATATAAGTTTATGTATATAATCAGATTTACTTATAATGTTTTTACATATTAATCCAAAAATAAAACAAAACAAATTTTTTTTTATATTATTTTATATATAAAAAAATTTTTCCCCTATATTTTAGTTTCCTCTTGCAAGTATGGCATTGTGGGCCAAATCAAAGGTCATCATGGGCCAACTTTGGACCACGGGCCCTGGTTTGGGCATCTCTGCATTAAAATGAGCAAAACTGACAGTAAAGACATTTATAATGTTACAAAAGATTTCTATTTCAAATAATTGCTGTGTTTTTAACTTTCTATTCATCACAGAATCCTGAACATTTTTAAGCACAGCAACTGGTTTCAACATAATAGTGATAAGAAATGTTTCTTAAGCAGCGAATCAACATATCAGAATGATTTCTGAAGGGTCATGTGACACTGAAGACTGGAGTAATGATGCTGAAACTTCAGCGTTGATCACAGGAATAAGTTACATTTTAAAATATATTCAAATAGAAAACAGCGATTTTAAGATGTAAAAACACTTCCTATTTTTCAAAAACATTAAAAAATCCTAATGACCCCAAACATTCGAAAGGCACTGTAAATTCCAAGATAATTTCACAGGACCTTGTAAGAAGATAACATTAAAAAAATCAATACTATATAAATTCAAAACTATAAATACAAAAGATTACCAGAGTGAACAGCCAAGTTAACAGCAGCTGTATGTCAGAGAAGCATGTATTTTATATTTTATTTTGTGTAATATGAATTTCATTTGTACTGTATGATGCTATTTTAATCCCTCCACCATTTTTGGCTTCTAACAGGTTTAAAGATGTTTTCATAAGCAGATGTTTGTCCTGTCTGTGGTGCAGACAGATAGCTGCTGAAGTGAGAGGAGGCGGCGAAGTAAAGCACAGGGCTCAGAAAATGTTACCAACAGCGTGAGAAGGGAAACAGAAACAGAGAGTGATTCCGTGAAACCCTAAATACTGAGCACATGACTGATGTCTGCAGAAGCAGAGCACATCTCATATACAGTATGCCAGCATTAGGCACTGCTCAAAGCATATAGTGTCACAATTCATGTAGACTTATATATTGTGGCTGTTAAATTTAAAGTGATAGTTAAACCCCAAAATAAAAAAAAATTAAAAAGTCAAAGTCAATGGGGTCAATGGAGTCCAAAACAACACTAGGGTGAAAAAAAGACATTTTTCAAATGTTTCACTGAAGAAAGAGAGTCAAACTGATTTGGAATGACATGTGGGTGAATTGTTCATTTTGGGGTTAACTATTCATTTAAATCCCAATTGAGAGATTGAAGACAAACACACAGAGAATTCAAAAGAGATCAGAAGAGCTGCTAATGTAATAGAGGGATCTTAAGAGATCACATAAAGATAGACTGAAGGGCCTGCTGATCAAAGGCAAGATTTTAATTGGATCTCTAAGAAACAGATTAGACAGTAGAGATAAGTGGAACACAGGAGAAGCCTAATAGGAAAGGAGACATGAAACCAAGAAAGACAAGAAACAAGATTAAGGTAAATGTGCTATTGAACAGTTGTGTGTATTTTGTCTGTGGTCAGTTAGTTTGGTCATATACACCAAAGAGAAAAATATATTTCAGTTTAATGGACAGAATGTTTTGTAATAATTGTTAGAGGTGTTTACTAAGGTAAGCCTCACTATTAAGGCCTTGATATACTCAACTTGTATTCTTATGAATTTCTAACAATATATTTAAATAAAATATCTCCTAAATATTGAAAACGTATATATATTTTCTTGCATCACAGTGGTTTTGCTGTAGTCCATGTGACTTTTTTTAACGAGTTTTTCATGAACTACATCCACTGGGATGCAAGAAAATAAATTATTTTTATTTTTATTTTAATACCAAAAATGAAATATCATTTTTTTTTTTTTATGAAAACAATTTAAAAAGTGTAGTACTTACATAGTAATGACATCCAAAGTTTTTACATTTTTGTGCATTCTCTCATTAGTGAGAAGTTATTCATCAGATACAATGTCATTTTATTTGAAAAACATTAAGTTATGACCATTTTATAAGCTCACTTTCCACCGGGTCAAAACTGACAGGAATGCAAAAGGTTTTGGCAGTTTTTGAATGCATTAAAATGGGCAAATATGTGCTTCCATCAAATGTATGATGTCATCGATTCAAGAACACACAAACACACAGCAAAACTAACTGCAGTGTAGAAAGGACAGTTAAAGGCAGGGTATGTGATTTTTCAAAAACACTTTAGAAAACTGATTCGGGCCGAATAGCAAAACAAACTTGTAGCCAATCAGCAATAAGGGGCGTGTCTACTCGTGATATGGAGGAGAGAGCTTTCAGTGCATGGGACGGACATTAGCCGAACCGAGCGACAGAAAGATAGAGATGGCGGATAAAAAACAAGAGGGAAAACGTCTGTGGAACGATAAGGCAAGAAGTAGGACCCGTGTAACTCTAATAACAAGGATCACAAGAATTCAGCACTCCAGTGGATTCATGTTTTTACTCGTGCCTGACCTTGTCGAATTGAGTGAAGAATTAAACCTGAAAAGATTTCTTTGATTTTACTTGAGTATACTGGGTTCTTTACTTTTGCTAACTAACTTTTCTTTAATTTTCTTTAAGATTTTTTTAAATGAAGTTTCATTAGGATTTAATTTGGGTATTTGATTTCTGAAATTCAATTTAATAGAAAGTGTGGATGCATTTTATCTAACAGTATAGTCCTGTATTTGACGCATGTTCAAGAGGCTTGTGAATGATGTGCTCAGCCCCAGTATAAAGGCCTCTGGCTTGAGATTAGCCTAGATTAAGTGCAGATTAATGCGTGGGAACAGGCAATTATCATCATTGTGCCAAATCTCCCTCCATTTTGATGATTCATTTATTCCAGTTAGGAAGCAAAATCCCTACAGCATTTCAACATGCAGTACAAAAAACAGTGATATATATTCCTCATATGCTGACCCTGTTTCAGATCAGAATTTGCCTTATTTTCCTAGCCAAGTCCACATTTAACCCTTGCTTACTTAAACTGACATTACAGTTAATTTGCACTCAACCATTAATGTCAGCAGTGGCTTGTGGAGGATTACTGACATCCTGAAAATGTATATTGCATATAACATATACTTTAAAACATATGATTTTCCTTTGACGCAAAGCTGAATTTTCGGCATCATTACTCCAGTCTTCAGTGTCACATGATCCTTCAGAAATCATTCTGATTTGCTGCTCAAAAAACATTTAATATTATCAATGTTGAAAACAGTTATGCTGCTTAATATTTTTGTAGGAACTGAAATACATCATACATTTATTATTCAGGATTTTTTTAAGAATAGAAAATGTACACAGAACAAAGGAACAGCATTTATTTGAAATCTTTTGTAACATTTTAACTGACACTTTTTTGAGCAATTTATTGCGTCCTTGCTGGATAAAAGTATTCAAATTTGTATTTAAAAAAAACATCTTACTGATACCAAACTAACAAAGTAATTTTGCAAAATGCTACCTGGAAAATATATACTTCTCATTTTTTGCCTCTTGTCTGTTAATATAAATGAAATAAATTATAATACATTTTCCAGACAGTGTTTAAAAAACAACCTGGTCTCATAAAAATACGTACCTCTGTGTACTTTTTGTGCAACACCGTTTTTACGTACCTTACTGCACGTTTCAGCTCTACCCCGCCATTTGGTGGTCAATAAAAATTCTTACACCAACTGTGTCATTTAGATGTTTTGTTCATTGGGATGTCATTGTAAGGTTTAATTGTCTATTTAATAAGCATATGTGTCATAGCAAGGCGGCATGTGTGTGTGCAGCGATAGAGTTTCCCAAATGTATTGTATTTTGCACAATACAATGACAATAAAGACTTTATTTTCTTCATTTTTACTTGCATCAAACTTGTGTCTTTTCACATAAATAGAATGTTTAATACGCCAATAAATTAGACCTACGTCATTTTTCATTGCACCATTTTTGTGTCTTCCTTACAAAATCTGTTGATGCAACTGTGCCATTTCAACTTCCTTATATGCAGATTTGAACTGTTTTGTCAAACCGTGGTTACACGGGATCCTCACCTCTCAAGTACATCTCCATACTCCGTGAGCTACCGAACAAACCTACCGTCGATGAAATCCCATAGATATGAAGCTGGATATGTGCGATGCTAACGTTCAAAAGCATCAGTTTTCAAATCTCCCAGCATATTAATATTGTTTTGAAGTCATAACATTATATTCTTCAAGTAATTGTGCGAAAATTACGCTTTACAGGTGCATCTCAATAAATTAGAATGTCGTGGAAAAGTTCATTTATTTCAGTAATTCAACTCAAATTGTGAAACTCGTGTATTAAAGTTCTGGATTAAGAATCATATTTGGCCTCTAAATAATTAACAGTCCAGTTCTTCTTCTCCTTAGCCCAGGTAAGACGCCTCTGACGTTGTCTTTGACAACAGAGGACGGTGTTTACAAGCAGCAAAAATGTTTGTGGTTAAGAAAGGACTTTTATCCTTTTTGGGAACAGTGGTTGAACCCGCAAGGTGTTTTAATTTTCATTCAGTCAACAGACATTCACATGTCATTGTTTTTAATAGTAGTACTATAATTACTAATTATACTAATTACTAATTATAACGATACACCAAGTAAAAACACTACATACATATAGGCATGCTGACTGATATAACTATAACATTGCACTAAATGGATCGCGGGTATGGGACAGCGCAATCGACGCGCTTTGTATT